GGGCCCGTTTCCACTTCCTATCCTCACAACTCACTCAGCATTGCCCTCTGAATTTAAGCCCATCAGTATCTCCTACCCACTGACCGTCTGATTCTCTCACGGTTCCGTAACTCCTCTCACATTCCCCCTACCCAGTACAGCTCCATGGTCCACCATCACCATTATTACACTGCAAATGTGCTTACCTTTCTTGCCTTCTAAAACCGGAAATCCAATGGATACTTCAAAGTCCTTATCCTTCCTAATCTCTCCATAGCATTTAACAAAAATCTTCTTTTGTAGACTTTTATAACACCATTCTCTTGATTCTCCCACTACCTTTCTGGAAGCTCCTTCTTACTTCCCGTAAGATTAATTTATTCATTGTTTACAGGGTGACAAGATACTTTTCTTCTGTTTGCCCCTATGTTTGGACTATCTCATTATGGCCACCCACAATGACAGGAGTTTCCAAAATGTGACCTGGGAGTCCTTGGAATCCACAAGATCTTTTCAGAGGTCCAAGAAACACAACTATTTTAACTCAATCTTCCTCACCCCTCTCCAAACTTGTTCATCTTCCCCTACGCCCTAACTACCCCTGCCCCAAATGGCTCAAGACAGAATTGTAGCAAGTAGCAAGTCTCCCTCTCTACACTAATCAGGTACTTATATGTACTAATTCTCTTGATTGAGTCTCACACCTTTCCATGCCTCCTCCCATTGCATTACTTCAAGACATCATTACTTTCCAAGACTACATCAGCCCAAATTGCGCTCTCTATTCCCCATTTCACCTTTTCCCAATCCATTCTCCATACTGCACCCATTCTATATCCCACCATCACAGCAGTTCACTTGTTTCTCAAACTGTACAGATATTAACTCTCTGCAAGAATTTATTTTTAGTATTTTGTTGAAGATAATAAAAACAAATACCTGCTAGATCATTTGGTTGAATACCTAGGACACAGCCAGCCATACAGAATTCATGGCTGTGTGTATAATCACAATAGCATATTACCATAAACCAAGGTAATTTGAGAAATGTATAATGACAGACTTATACAATTAACTCCATTCAAGAGAACATGATGCTCTTTATTTCAAAATGTATCAAATTTGTGTGAATAGAGAAATGTTGTGAAAGAATTAACTCTTCTCAAGGTATTAGTAGCACTGACAAGCCATGCAAAAAAAATAATTTGTTTCATACTATATTCATATTGTAAGAAATTTGTAAAATACATCATATCTTATGTTAACGTTAGGGAGCTTGAATTTTATTAGTTTTGTAGTTTTAACTGATAAATATTTTGGTGGTGATGTTGAGAGCTAGAAACACAGGAATTGAAGTTTAGTGTTTACACATCTGAAACATTAAAATAAAAGGAATTTCTAGCAACAAAACCAAGCTTCTTAAGATCCTTAAACATATCTTGCACTGAGAATCACTATACTCTTCTTTATCTAATCCTAGTGTTCTCCAAGTAAATTTTTAAAGAAACTTATTTTTTTAAGAAACAAAGTTCCTTCTCAAAATGTTGAGAATCGTATCTCTGAAACTTTGAAATATCTCCTCTTCAAAAAACGAAAAGCTTGCATAAATATCTAAATGGTATGTAGATTTCAAAGCAAAGGTTTGTTGTCTTATGCATATATTGAGGCTCTAAAATTGTGCTGTCCAATATGGTAGCCACTAGGAATGTGTGGCTCTTTAAACTTTAATTAAGTAAAACTAAAAATTCAGTGATCCAGTCACAATAGCCACATTTCAAGTATTCAATGGCTACATGTGACTGGTGGGTAAAACATCCCATCAGCGCAGAAACTACTATTGGACAGTGTTGCTCTATACTTCCCCCCCTTCAAGTAAGCTCAGAAAGCTGCTCTTGACTTCAAATATCAACTTGATGTTGATGACCTCCAAATCTTTCTCTAGTCTTTTTCCACTAACCTACTGGAATATCTTCAGTATTCTACGTGATATCACAACTCTACTTTATCAGCTGGAGAGATGGAGGCTCTGACTGGAAATAATTATGGCAGTGGTAAGAAAATCAGAAAGTACAATGTCTAAAAGAATGGAATACATTTTCAGAGTAAGGTTAAGACTGAGACTGAGACAAGTGAGAACAGGTACTGCAAAAACCTAAGTGAATATTAATCAAAAGATAATTCCCACTCCACTGTACCCACTCATCGTAAAATAATTAAAAGCCACTATGCAGAGATATTCAAAAGATATCTTTCCAACCCTACTTGAATGTATTGTTCACCCAGTAAACTCACCTTTGATATGGAAGATATATTAAAATCGCAGTTTATAATCAGTCAGTATAAACTACAATAGCCCATTTCAAAGTTTATTTTGTTAATTACATTTCTAAATCTTTGAAAATAAGAATTTTTCTAAAAACTCAAAACGCAATTAATAAAGCACTTTAGCCAGGTTTACAACCACATAGGAAAACACTACCTCTGATTCCTGTTATCAATTTAAATCTCCCAACTTTCTCTATACTGTGTTATTATTTTAAAAAGACATAATTCAGTTATTATTAACTCCTGACAAATACATTTTCTGCTTTATAGAGATATTTCATGTTGGTGTTACTCCAAAAAAGAGCTTATTTTAAAAAATGCAAAACTACATTTTCTGTCTACTTAAATAAAACCAGATGCAAAATAAGGCCATGCCCCAAAAAACCCACACAGAAAGCTTTAGAAAACAATGACAATGAATGGCATTTCCCCAAAAATGTACAGTACATTAATTTATTCAATAAACATATGACCACTATAAACTTCTGGAATGAGGTGGATATTTAATCAAATAAACATAAAGCAAACATTTATTAAGTACCTACCGTGTGCTAGGCTTTGGACGATATGTACAAAAACAACAAAAAGAAGACATGGTCCCTGCCCTCATGGAGCTCACAGTCTGCTGACGCTGACAAACAACCACAAATACAACAGCAAAGCACCAGGGAGGCACAATGGAGAAGGGACTGTTCCACCTGGAGAGTGCAGGGCAAGCTTCACAGAGACGAGACAATGGAGCTGTGCCTGGATGAGGAGGAGTTCGCCAGATGGAGGGGGAGGGGGAGCACATTCCAAGCAGAGGAAACAGCAAAGAGCAAGCAGAGTCTTGGAAGCACATGCCATGGTGCAGGATGAGGAGCAGTCCAGTGCGGCTAGAGCGTAAAGGTGCACACAAACTAAAGAGACGAATTAGGTTTCGGTTTTTAGTGAATCATAACTATCAGGAAGTTTATCTTCACATTACACTTAGTGAAGCTTAACTGTGATTTTGTTAACAACAGGGTAGTTTGAAAGCATTCCAATCATTTCATAAATGTTTGAGCCCCTTCAACAGATACCCAGCACTGTGGTTTTCAAAGGGCAGTTTTAGTAAAAATAAATCCTAATTTTCCTCTGTATATTTAAGAAGCAAAATAAACCTAGAATAAAGGTTTCCTTAAGCTGAAATCACACAGCGTTGCACTCAAGGTCCCAACTTTTGTTAGCTCCCTCTACTCCTAACACTATCTAGTATCTTAACACCTCTTAACTATCAATCCAAAATAACACCATAATTAAGCATTACAGAGACAATTTCAGCCTTCCCTTCTCATTATGCCTCTCTAAACGAGGAACCTGCCAATGTCCCATGGAAATCTTTGCAAGGTAACCAATGCTATAGATGACGAAAGAGTATACAGTCTAACCTCCATGACAATTTTTGGAATTAAATTCTTACAAACAAACTTGGAAGCTAAATAAAGAGATGAAACAGAGACTCCATCTCTTTCAGGAAAAGTAAAATGAAGAGGAAGAAAACAGCTTGGGGCCAAAGGTTTCCTACACTGGCCAGACAACAATGCTCACTGAGGTAGCTTAGTGCTTAGGAAGGTGAAATGGGGAAAGGAAAGCAACTAATGACATGGCTAGATGTTTTCATGTAAACTCCTATTTATTCCTCACAATGCTAAGGGACAGATTTCACTACCTTAATGAGAAATCTGAGGTCATCAGATGTTAAAGAAGTTACCCATGACTGTGTGAGCTCCTAAGTGGCAGAGCCAGGGCATCAAACCATGCCTGCCTGGATCCAAAGCCATCCCCCCCCACTACACTGCCTCAGGGCTCCTAAAATGGACGCACACTCCAGCATGCAGGGTTACATCAGTCATATCCCTAGAAAGAAAAGCCCTTCTTTTCCCTTCACCATTTTCACTCAGTGTGAGACAATGGTGGTGGCAACATACATACACATATATCTATGAAATTTACAGGAAGAAAAATTGAGAAAAAATGGTTATCAGATTAGTTGCCCTTGGGGGGTGTGGTTAAAAGGTGTCTTTGTAAAGATACTGGGTGCATTAATACAATTAAATTAGCATTATAATTCCAATGGTACTTGTTTAAATTCAACAAATCATCAGCAAAGCAGCTCAATAAAACATAAAGCTAATGGAAAACTCTCCAATCACAGTATTAGGATGAGAATGTTATTCCTGAAAGTCATTATCCTCAACATGATCACAAGTCAAAATAAAAACTCCCCTTTCTCAAACCCTAATCCTGAAAATAATAGGTAATTATAAACTACATGGTAAGAATACCTGCCACATTAAAATGTTGCCTCTTTGGGGGCAACAGGAACTATTTTAAGAAGGAAAAAAAAAGAGGGAATTATCATCAACAAAGAAATCTTTTGTAAATAACCCCAATGGGCCAAAAGTGTGATGTATGACCTAAAGAGATACTGAAATGTTGTTTTCAACTGTGTACAATTTACTTAGGCTTCCCCTCTAGAAGTACTGCCAACTACCAGAAAATAAATCATATTTATAAGTCAAATGCTTAGCAGGGAGAGGGAAAAAAAACAAAACAAAACAAAACAAAACAAAACTGGACATTCAGACAATCAAACTTCCAGTGTTATATTTAAAATGTAAGATATTTTTTGGAGAGCTCTTGAAATAACATACAGATGTTATAAGTTAACTAACCTTATTCTGATTGAGAGGATCATTCCGAAATTTCTGTTTGTTCTTCTGTAACTTACTAGGCATCATCTTTCCAGTTCTGAAGTCAAAACTGCTGAGGTCAACAGTATTTCCCAGGTACCTTGCCAACTGAGGTTTGCTTCTAAACTTCTTACCACTTGGACTAGAAGAAAGATAACATTAATTGTACAAAAGACAGCAAAATTTACCCTAGACTCTACGTAAACCTTTTTTCATCCTGTCCTTCCTGGTCCCAATTGTTACCACATCACAATTTTGCATGTTTATTTTTTCAAAGAAATATTCAAGTTTTAAAGGAACCTGGTAACTTCACTACAAAAAGGGAATGAGCCATCTAATGTAACACTTCACTAGGTCCACCACTGGAGCACACAGCAATCCCACTGGTCACTCACTCGGCAACCACAACAGAATCCCAACACAAACCACATGCACAGCAGAACATGCACCCTGCAAATGTCTTCAATCTCACTGTTTTCCAAACTGACTTTTGAAATGCTACGGTTTTACATATATTACATAAACACAATGTCAGAAGTAACCAGAAAGAACTTCAGAACAAATTCTTCCGAAGTCAACACCCTTGTTAAACACACACACACACACACACACACACACACACACACACACACACACACAGCCCAGCCAGCGTGGCTCAGTAGAGCCACTATCCAGGCAATCACAGTTCCATTCCCAGAAAGGGCACATGCCTGGGCTGCAGGCTCAATCCCCAGTAGGGGGCGTGCATGAGGCAGCCAATCAATGACTGTCTCATCACTAATGTTTCTGTCTCTCTCCCTCTCCCTTCCTCTCCCTGAAATCAATAAAAAACATATTTTAAAAAAACAAACTTGTAATTCATATGTATTTGGGCTACCAATTTGAACTCAATTATAATAGGAAAAATTTTTTTGACTTTTGACAATATTTAAATGTTCCCTATGGTAACTACTGAGAGGAGAAAACTAAGGCAAACATGTGCAAATGTGTTTATACAATGTTGACATTAGTTTCGTTCGACTTTTGCTAGAATTACACAGAAGGCTAAACTAGTGTGTTCTAAAAAATGTTTTTCCTGTGTGGCATTGCCCCAAAGTCTTATCTAAATTTTCTGAGCCAAATGTGCTAGAATAAACTGTTAAAATCAGCAGATACACAACCAGAGGGGATTGTGAGAATTCTACAATACCTCTCAAAGAAGCCAACATGTTATATTTAGAACTTAACGTTGTACCAGCCGACTACTATAAAAGAAAAATAATTCAACAGGAAGGCAAAAGAGAAAAGGCTGGAAAACTAAGCAATAAAATATTCCCCTGGAACAGAAAAATTTCTTCTCTCTGGGTCAAGCTCAAACCAACACACCCCTCTTTGTCACAAACTCTGGTATTCTGCCACGACCAACTTCAGGACAACAGAAGATCAGATCAACATTCTTTTTCCACAATCAGATGACATAAGCATTCCTGAAACACAATTCAAAGTATAGAATTCGGCCTACAGATGAAGATAACAACCAGACTTAGCAGAATAGAACGAAGCAGACAACAAGAACACAGCAGAGGAAAGGACGTAAGATTATGTATAAGCAAACCTCAACTGCCATTCAAAATATGCTCAGTATCATAAAATAGTCTGTAACCCTCAATACTGTCCAAAACTTAAATCATCTCTGCCCATCACAAACTTCCACCCTCCAACCCAATCTTCCTGTATTGCCCTCTGTTGCAGCATCACTGCCCACCTAGCACCTAATCCTCAAACTAGAAGGCACATCACAATGCCAGTCCCTCAGCCACACATCCAGTACCCAGTTCTAAATGCTCAGACTCCTCAATGCTGACGGAACAGCTTCACCTCTTTAAAAACACATCAAAACTCTTCAATCTGTTTAGATATTTATTCCTTGACCCTTTAACACCAACCAGCCTTGGGTATCCTGCATTCCAAACTCAAAGTCACCAAAATATGCCATGTACCTTTGGCTTCCAGCCATGTCTTTCCAAACGGAAGGGTTAGCATGAGCAATCTTGCCTGTCACAGAACTATTAAATGCTCTAAGCCCAGCTAAAATGTCAGCTCCTCTGTGAAGTGTTCGTGATTCTCCAATCTTAATTAGAAATAATTCTGCTATCCTTGCCATTCTACTTCTTTACAATTCCTATACATTCTCTTGATGAGTCAACCAACCAGAAATTACAATGCCACTTTTCAAAACCCTCAGACAGCCCTGGCTGGTGTGGCTCAGTTGGTTGGGCATTATCCCACATTCGATTTGATTCCTGGTCAGGGCACACGCCCGAGTTGAAGGCTCAATCACCAGTAAGGGGCATGGAGGAAACAGCGGATCAATGTTTTTCTCTCACATGATGTTTCTCTCTCCCTCCTTCTCGTCCTCCTCCCTCTCTCTGTTTCCTTTCCTCTCTTTAAAAATCAATAAAAAAATCTTTAAAACCCTCCAACACAATTTATATAGGCTAGCACAAAACAAAGTAACTTTCTGAAAGCAAAAAACTTGTATCAGTTGAACAGTAAAGAATATGGTTTTCATTTGCAGACACACTGAAATGGCCAATTCTATGCTTATTTAAAAGTTATATTGCATAGAATTTAAAAAATTAAACTGCGAAATATTTTCATAATTAATCTATTATACTACATAAATATTACTGAAAGGCTCAAATTAATTTGAAAAATTGGTGAAGATTTGTCTGCTACTATGTCACTTATATAACTACAATTAATTTAAATTAGGTTAAAATAGCCATATAGTCCTTATAATTGGATATTCTAGTTACTGGTAAAAAAGATTCTGATAAATTATTTAGTAGACCTCAGAAGTGAATAAAATCTCTCCAAAAAACAAAATTAAAATTCTCAATCAGGTATCTCTCTAATAAGATCTCATCAGTGCAATAAAAAGCTGAGTTCTAAATGAACTTTGTTTTCATGGACTAATGTTCCAAAAGATGAAAATAGTAAGGTAGCAACTTCTACTAAAAAGATAAGCACTATTTTTCTTAGGATACAGCTTAGAGATAACTAAAATGTCATTTCTCAAAGAATCAACTGACTTAATTTCATAACTTAATCCTGCAATAAGTAGTTCCTTATGTAACAGGTGAAATGCCAGTTACCTACTGCATACTAGATGTTAGTATCTACATACTAGAGCCTCACTGTAATATTCCTCTGTAGAACAAAACTCATCGAGATCTATCCGTTTTAGATACCCCTCCCACAAATTAAGGAAATCTGACATTAAGAACTCAATTTAGCCCGGCAGGGAGTGGCTCAGCGGTTGAGCGTCAACCTAGGATCCAGGAGATCAGGGTTCGATTCCCAGTCAGGGGACATGCCCGGGTTGCAGGCTCGATCAATGACTTTCTCATCATTGATGTTTCTATCTCTCCCTCTCCTTTCCTCTCTCTGAAATCAATAAAGATATATTAAAAAAACACACAAAAAAACCTCAATCTAGCATCCAGTTGCCCAGAGAAGCCAGCAGCATCTCCACTGGAGTGGACCCTGAAACCTGCCTCTGCCTTACTGGTGGTTCCTGCACCTGTGCTGGCTCCTGCATGTGCGAGGGATGCAAACGCACCTTTTGCAAGAAAAGCTCCTGCTGCGCAGAGTGCAAGAAATGCGCCAAGGACTGTGTGTGCAAAGGTGGAGGGGGGGGAGGCTGAGGCTCAGAAGTGCAGCTGCTGCTAATGAGATGAGGCCCTGCCCTCCGTGAAACACATGCAAATACTGCTGGGTGACACAGCACCACCTCTCCCTGTGGGGACTCTTGGCTGTGTATCCCCCACCCCTGCTAGCTGCTGGCAGGTGACAATAAATCCTATGAATGATGAATGGTATGAAAAAACAAACTCAATTCAGAGGCTATACTCATGAAAAGTGATGGCAGTTTATGATTAGCAATTTAGTATGGCTTAAAATAGTTCCTATGTTTAGTGATTTTAAAAATCAAATAGAAGTATTATAAGAAAGGCCTGACATATTCTGATAAACCAAATGAGCAATGAAGGAAAATGGTGGAAATCAAGTCAGCATATCAAAAGGAAGTTGAAATATCAACTAGTATTCAGCCAGATCTGACCCACACCAAATCCCTATGCCTTGTCATAAAGATGGACTTCTACGAAGCATCTATATTGAGTAGCTACAGGTACTGGTCAGACACACTGTTGCCTTCAGAAAAGTGGTATACAAGACATTTGCTTCTCCGTACCTGATATGGCTTGTACTTGGTGCTTTAAGGAAAGTTAGCTTGGCTGCCCGGTAGATTTTGAGACCAGAGACCTTCCTCTGCAGAAGGTGAAGGCAATCATATAGAAAAGACTAGGCCCCAAGGGAATAGTTAAGCAAGACTACTGCCCATCACATATAGACCATCTGCCCAGTGGTAACATGACCCTGGAAGTGGCTGAGAAAGTAAATGCTGGATGAACAAAAAACGGTATGTCATTTAAGTTCTGGTATTACCCAGAGTGACAAAATAATCATCTGTCTGCGCTTTTAAGATAGCTGTTGTAGGTCCCAGTCTCAGACACACCAGGACTTACGTGACTAAAAGCATCAAAGTGTAACTCAGGGAAATTACTTTTTTTAAAAAAACTCTAGTGAGACTAATGAACAGTATTAGTCATTTTCAGTTTTCTCTGTCCAAAGCGACTACTTCTAATCCCAGTAATGAAATTCTAATATTTCACTTTCAGCCACAAAAAACATTCCCTACTGACTGCCCCCTAGATATGCCAATCCTAAACCAACTTGTGATCTCACCTTTAACTTCTACCCACTAAGTACCCTGAAGAAAAGTAATAATCAAGTGAAAATCAAAAATATGAGTTAAATTTTTCCAGTTCATAAGAACATTTCATCACTTGAACTATGTCTTTGCCTGCTTTCATTTTGATTGAACTGTTTAAAGCACTTTTTAAACCAAACTCTATCTTAGACATTTCTAACTGTAGGTTATGAGAAAAAATTTTATTTGGTGTATGGCTTTTAAATTAAAATTTAAAAAACTTGAGATACCAGTAATACTTAAATTATGGTCACCTTAATTTTATGGTATTCACAGTTTGTCACTCTATAAATTCACCTGTAATCCTAATTATCTGAGCTAGAACTGTCACATGCTGTGCCAGTCTATGATATATTAACTCTTACGAAGGCCTGCTGTTTGCATGTGAAACTGCACTCTGAAAACACTCCTCTAATAGAACAGAACCTATTTTTTCATGTTATTTTGGTATGGATAATCATGATATTTAGTCAAACCATTGTGAGGAGGCCAGAGGTCTGAGTAAACACAAGTGTATCTTCAAACAAATTTATAACAGGATAAACTGTGGGTGGCAGTAATCGGAGTGGAGTAAGATGAAGTGACCAATGAGTGGCAAGTAGCACTGTGGATGGAAGGTGGTTAACTACGAGGCTAAAGAGCATGTTCAGAGGTGCCCCATTCTCCAACATTAGGGAGAACTTTGTGGGGAACAAAAAAGTCCACAATGAAAATGCTGTAAGCTCCAGCACTAGAAAGTCTGACAATAAGGAAACACCAACTTTCTATCATTTTCTAACTCCTTAAATGTTAAAGCTTACCTGTTACTGACAAGAGTAAGTACTGAAAGAAAGAGACTTCTCTAACATTAAATAACAACTGTCTCCAGAAATCAAATTTCAGCTGAGCCTAAAAATCTGAAATTACACTTATCTTTTTGGACTTAGGTACTCTGGTATTGCGATTTATAAAAGACCTTAAGTATAATTCAAATTGTACTAATCATTCTCATTCCATAAACTAGCATTTATATAACCAAAACTACATACAAACAGTGTATTACTGGTAGCAAGTTCTAGTATCTCTAGAACGTGATTAAAAACAAAAGCCAGTATGATCCACTAAAAAATTTAAAAATGAATGAATGTCGAATTCTAACTGCCTTAAGACACTCACTTTCTGAACAAGGAAAAAGGAAAAACACTAGTTATTTTGGTTAAATTGGAGACTGGTCACTGCCATGGAAAAGTCAGAAGTTAAATATGCCTGGGAATTATTTCAAAATACACTGGGAGGGGGGAATGGATATTGGTGAAACAAGATTGGCCGGGAGCTGTTCATTGTTAAAGCAGGTTGACGAGCACATGGAGGTCTCATTACACTTTCCTATCTACCTTTGCTTCTACATATGTTTGTACTTCTCCATAATACAAAATAAATAGATAGCTAAATATACCTCCAAAACAGACTATATTTTTTTAAAAAACGAGAGTAGGAGCCTCCAAGATAGACTTTTTTAAAGAGATGCATACATCATTGCATACATGTTAAAAAAATTTTAAGGACATTCATTAATCTATGGATTCTTCCAGTATAAAAAGTATTAGGAAAAAAATATCAAGATACATTATTCAAAAATCTTTAAGAGCCCTGCCAGCATGGCTCAGTGGCTGACCATTGACCTAGGATCCAGGAGATCCAGGAGATGCAGGTTCAACTTCCGGTCAGGGCACATTCCCAGGTTGTGGGCTCCATCCCCAGTAGGGGGCGTGCAGAAGGCAGCAGATCAATGACTTTCTCTCACCACTGATGTTTCTATCTCTTTCTCTCTCCCTTCGTCTTTCTGAAATTAATAAAGATATATTAAAAAAAAAAAAAATCTTTGAGTGGATGATGTTCTTCTTCCTCACATCTATAAATCACTCACAATTGTTCCTGGCAAATGCTGAGTGCTCAATTTTTAAATCTAATTACATTTACTATAGATCATTATTTATATCCATACACAGCTTATGTAATCAAGTTCCCAAATTAGTTTGAATTTAAATTATAAAACAAGGAAAATCATAAGATCCACAGATCTTATTCAAATTTCATTCCATTCCATACTTTTACTGTGTCTGTGCCCTATAGCATCTTATCTACTATCTCTGATGAGTATCTTATTTGCTATGAAGACTAAATCTCTAATATTAAAAAATAGCTGTGTCTCTAACATTAAAAAAGAAAAAAAGCTTTCTGTCCTTCTATAATACTCTCAACATTAATGATAAAAATTAGAAACTTGAAAAGGTATGGACTTAGTAAAACATCCTTCCTTGGGAAGTTTTCATTTTTTGAAGTTCTGATGAAATTAAGTACAACTTCATTTTACAATTCACCTCACCATTTCTTGGAAATGGCCAACAGCAATAAAAGATCAATAAACAAGAGCTCAAAGGCATATTAACATTCCTAGCTGAACAGTAAATCATGAAATAAGAGGTAATGATTTATTTCTAATTCATCATGCAAGTCTGAGAAGACCTCAAACACAGGGTAAAAGGTTATGAATTTTCTATTAGTCCCACTATAAAACTTTAAAAAAGTATCACTTCCTTTGCAAATCACCTGTTTCTGTTGCATTAATGAAAACCAAATTATAACTTGATGTCTCACAAATGGAATTTTTAAACCAATTTGAAGATATCTTTCAATTTTGTTGGAGATAATTTTTAGAGTGTATGTGTATCAGTTCCCTTTGAGTTATGTATTTCCTCTGCTGCAGTTATTGTGGGTGGGTGTTCTGGCAGGTAAAACTTTGCATGTCAGATTATAAAAATCAGATGTAGGACGGATGGCAATGTTGCACCCTACCAAAACTTCCTCCAGCACATCACAAAAAGATGTAATGGTACTGCCGAAGGAGAATTAGAGCACAATTTCCACCATACCTCTATGTCTTTTATTTATGGGTCCAGGCTTCAATCAGGTAATATCAAGAAAAAAAGACTAAAAGCAAGTCAAATTTTCAATTATGCAATAAATGCTTAATAAATATTGCATTTCTTTCCTTTCTCCAACTAATTGGTCTATAGGGCACATTTCAACTGTATCTCAACTCTGAAAGAAGCATACGAGTTTTATGCAGGAACCATATAAACCTATCTCAATGAGCTACATTTAGCCTGTAAGTTACAATTGATTTCTTCTAATTTCAGTGAACACTTTTACAATCCCTTTTTTATTTTTTAATTGATTTTAGAGAGAGGTTTGTTGTTCCACTTATTTATGTATTCATTGGTTACTTTTTGTATGTGCCCTGCCCAGAGACTGAACCCACAATCTTGGCATACCAGGACGATGCTTTAACCAACTGAGCTACCCAGCCAGGGCATTATTATACATTTTAAAAAATCTATTTACATATGTTCAGCCCATAAAACTTGAGTTTGAGTTTCTGAATTGCTTTCCTTAGTTGGTCCTTAAGTATATCTAAAGCTTCAAGAGCTCTATGTATTGATTTTTGTGTTCTAGAACTGAATCCTTATAACAAAGTACAATCATACCCTTTACAAACGAGAAACAAGTTACAGCACTGGGAAGTGTAAGTGACACGCTCAAGGTTGCACCACTGGTAAGTGCAGTTAGAATACCAACTCCATACCACTTACTCCTGTGCTCTACTGCCTTCCCTAGATTTTATAGGCCTCAATTATATTGTGTCCAAGTCCTCTTCTATCCAGATCAAAGTGAAATCTTCTTAGCCTCTCTTCACGCACCTGGCTCCCTATGATTATTTTAATGATGTTCTCTAGTTCCACTGGCTTTTCTTTTGAGAGAAGTGATCAGGTGTGAATACACCATAATTTTGATAGGAGTCAAAAATGTTTACTATTATGTTTCCAATATCCAACCAGATGATATATTATGGTAGCAGCTGTAACAGCGGACCATGTCTCCCAGGTCTTTAACCCAGTTATAAACAAAAGTCTAGAACCCAACAAGTTTAGACTTGATTTAAAAGGCATGAGGTGCCCTGCCGGTGTTGCTCAGTGGTTAGAGCTCTGGCCCATGCAATGAAGGGCTTTAGATTCGATTACCAGTCAAGGTCACATACCTGGGTTGCAGGTTTGATCCCCAGCCCCACTGGGCACATGCAGGAGGCAACCAATGGATGTGTTCCCATTGCCTCCCTCCCTTCTACTCCCTCTAAAAAAAAAAAAAAAAAAAAAAAAAA